TGTATATACAATGTTTAAATTAATAAATGTTTTTGAAAATTTGAAAATAATGGTTTGAAAATTTTAATTAATGAAAAGTTTTCTAAAATGTTTATTTACTAAATTAGTTCAGTTTCTTTAGCTGTGCTTTACAAATATAGTTCAAGGAATAAAATATAGATTGAAAAACGTAATAACAAAATCCAACATTCTTAATTTAAAATGTATTAAATAAATGCATAAAACTCGAAAATGAATAAAAATAACTTGCTAATTAATATTTTTATTCATTTTGCAAAATAAGTGCATTTCGAAAGTGGTGTCACTGAGTCTGTTGCGAGAATTTCCTAGAAAAAAGTAACGATTTCATTCGACATTTCCGTTACAAAAACTTGTACTTTTTTCCCTAAAAAAGTAACGAAAGTACAAGTAAAAGTACTAAATTTAAAAAGTAACGAAGTACAAATAAAAGTACGTACTTTTTACTTGTACCGGCGGTACAAGTAACGAAAGTAAAAGTACTGCCATATATGGTCATGTCTGTATATTGATAAATCGTCGCACTTTATTGAAGCTTTGAGCTAGTTTTGAAGCATTAAATATATTGATGGTTTCTTACGAAAACTAATTGTGTTCGTTCCCCTGAGCCACCAAGGCGCCTAAAATGGATATTTTATTTTATAACCGTCGTTGAACAGCAGACCCCATTTTGGGTTTACGACTACAAATGTTCAACTCCGTAGCCTTGTAGTTTTGAACACAATCCAGAAAATAAGGGAAGTCCTGGATCAAGTATTAGGAGAAATTTGCCTTCGTGGAGGGCTTTTAGCTGAAAATAACCGCCATTTGCGTTAAATGGAGAGGAAAACCACGAAAATCTCCCACAAATAGCCTTACGAAAAAAGGACTCTAAGTCATGATTCGCCAACCACTAAAGATATTTTATATCAAAACTCAATCATTACAGGAATGGAAACGAATCGACCAGTCATCCCTGGAATTCGAAACCAGTTCACCTCATTGGAAGTTGAGCTCTCTATCCCTTGAGCCACCATGGCTCTAACACGGATATTTCATTTTATAATTTATAACAGTCGTTGAACAGCCGATCCAATTTTTTGGTTTTATGACTGCCAATGTTTAACTCCGTGGCATTGTAATTTTGAACCCAATCCAGAAGATAAAGGAACTCCTAGATCAAGTATTAGGAGAAAGCTGCTTTCGTAAAAGACTTTTTGATGGAATTAACCCGCATTTGCGTAACTTGGAGAAAAAAGCTGCGAAAATGTCCCATGCTTAACCAGACGGCAAGGGGACTCTAATCCATGATCCGTCTACCACTGTGGATATTTCACGTCAGCAATGCCGTCGGTGCAATCCGGGTGCGAAATTCGTATAGACCAGCCATCAATGGGATTCGAACCTGGTTCACCTCATTGGGAAGCGAACGCTCTATCCCCGGATATTTCTTTTTATATAGCCGTGGTTGAACAGCCGACCCAATTTTGGGTTTACGTCTACTAAAGTTCAATTCCATAGCGTCCCGCAGTGGATTTATCGTTAAGACACGGTTCCCAGCAGATCACCGAAGTCAAGCATCACTGGCTGCGGTCATGTGCGGGTGGGTGACCACTTGGATCAGTCTGCGTAGGGACCGAGGGTGTGTGGTATTGGTCCTCGTTAAACTGTTCTACTGTAAAGTGCGCGACTTCGCGCGCAGGTCGTTGGGCTACCTAAGCGGGGGTGCCATCCCCTCTGCAGAGGATCAAAATTGTGATGGCATGTCTTCGGATCATCCTCAGGGATGTTTCCCAGACCATCGCCAATAGCCCATTGTGCAGCTCTAGTGCGACGTAAATTAACAACAACATCAATTCCATTGCTCATATTAATTTTAAACCAATCCAGAAGACAAGGAAACTCCTAGATCAGTACCCCCAGAGATATATATGGAAACATGGAGGACTTTGAGACTCGACGGATTTAATGTGCATCAGTCACCATGTACTACACGAGGAGTCTTCGACCGACGAGGATCGAACCCACGACCTCTTGGACATGGTCCCAGTGCCCTACCAACCAGGCTATCCTGTGGTTTAACACTGATATTTATTAAAATTTCCCAATAAAGCATTAATTTATTGAAAAAAAATTAACCATAAAGGAATTAATTTATACCATGCCTATAATATATTATTATTTTACATGAAGGTAATCAGGCTAGTTACATTAGTTTCATGCTAAGTTTACTAAAATAAATAAATAAACAACAACATGGTAAATATTGGTTAAAATGATTGATATGAAATGCAATTATGCTTAGATTCCAAAATATATTATGCTGTTCTATTATTAAGAAATTTAAAATAAAAATAAAATTAATGTTATATGTTATGCAGATTCGCTTTGATTATGATAGATCCGCTTTGATTGAAGCAAAGTTACATAAAAAAAAGTAAACCTTACCAAATATATTGGGGGAAAAACAACCTCGAAAAATTAACAGAAAATTCGTGTTTTTTATGCTTTTTTTTTCGTATTTAAAAAATGAACTTTGTAATTAACAAACAGTCCTTCACGTATATCTGGAGTAATAAAAAAATTTAAAAGACTTAATAACACTACTTTGCAATAATTATAGAAACTTGCATTTATGTGCGATATAATGAATGAATAATATCCCAACCGTGACAAATATTTAGATATCTATATATATATTTCTCTTACACGGCGACGTCATCCTCCGGGATGTTTCCCAGACCGTCGCCAATAGCCCATTGTGCAGCTCTAGTGCGTCGTAAATTAACAACAACAACTTACACGGCGACAAAAAAAGCCTCATTACAACTCCCTGAATGACAACGCTAGAAAATCGACCAATGATTGCCGCTAAAAATGTCACATGCCAAATCTAGCTGAGGTGGCTAAACATATAGCTCTTTTAAAAACGGAAACTGAAATAACCAGAGAGAGCTGAAATAACCAACCTCATACTATTAAACTAGGCAGAAATGAGTAGTCTTTGTCGATAGATCTCTATATTAGTATTTTGTCGAAAGCGCTTTTTTTCACGAATTTATATATTACGAATTTATTTGACGATTTTTGATTTATATCACGAATTTATTTGTTTTATCACGAATTTATTCTAAGACTTATACTTATGTTTTTAACGAAGTTGTGAATCGTTCATGGTTATTATTTTTTAAAAACATAATGTTCTGTTTATGCAGGTTTTTCCATTGCAATTCACTTATTTCAATTTTTAATAGACTTAATTATAGCCAAAATTTTAACCTTTTTAAAGAGATATCAGTTTTAGAAATTTTATCTTAAGATTTTATACTATAGCATATTTCTAAAGAGGTTTAACGAATTACATGTCATTTATTTGAATTCAAATTTATTTTAATGACTCAGCATTTACTAAAAAGATGTAATTTAAAAAAAAAATGAAAAAGTTGTTATGCTGATTTGAATGATTGTTTTCAATTCTTAGAATTTTGTGCATTTGCAATGTACCTAAGTTAGAAGCGAGCTTGGTTTGCGAAGCAAACCATATAAGATTGCGTAGACATTTTCGGGGGTTGGCGAGCGTTAGCGAGAGGGGGGGGGGCAGCCCACTAGTATTTAGATATTTTTACTAATTTTATTGATACCTTACAAGCTGTGATACATATCACATAATTTTTACCCTACTTAGGCAACATGAACATCACCTGATCTGGTATCCAACTTTGCGTTTATTCAATTAGTTCCGGTATAAGTAATTGTAGAATACTAGTTGCAACACAGAAACTTTCTGAACTATGCGTGTAACATTTAAAAGGCTTGATTAAATAAATCGTTATTAAATACATTGTTTATTGTTAATTTTATCCATCATGTGTCAATTTTTAAGTGAAAACAAAGAAATGTATTGACTCTTTTTTATTAGCGAGAAAATGAAATGAAACACGAGTCGAGAACTACTTGGTGCTGTGCGAGTCGAGAACTACTTGGTGTTTTTTTAGTATTGTGCTACCTGTCCTCTTCTACTTGACGAAGGTTTATAAGCCTATTTTGAGCACACAAGCCTGAAAATTTATGTAATCGCAATAACCAATAACGAGTCGAGAAATGAAATGCACTTAAAATTTGTGATAAAGTAACGTCACAGCGTGACGTTGCAAATAATGTGACGTCACAACGCTGAATGCTGCTTCAGTTTTAATTCCAACCATAGAAGTGGTAGCATTACACAGGCTAATCGCTCTTAACCTTGACGAGCTATCTGCTGTTCTGTAAGATACTTCATCACCAGGTGAATCAGCATTTATAATTACCATTTTTTTAAAAAATACAGCTACTCTTCTTTGAAGACTTCGCTATATGCGCTTCAATTTCTTTGTAAGTTGTTTCGTTCAAATATTCTTATCAAAACTTTTATGCCAATATGGCTAAGAATAAGTACGAAGGTGACTGGACAATATCTACTCCTGCTAATCCTATTGAATTCAAGACTATTGTAACGCCAACTTTGCGCCATTTCCTGGTAAAAATCTAACATTTTGTTTCGAAGCATGGTATCAAGATGTAGGCTACCGTAAGTATTTATACAAACTGAGACTCGTGAAACTCTCTAATGTTGGAATCTCGCCAACACTAGAAGTGTTGGTTGGCGTGAACTATTCAGATGGATCTATTTTTAGGAATTATACAAGCATGGTTTTAAATGATGAAATGAGTTGCGTTACTTTTGAAGATGTAACAACAGATTGGTTTGTAAAAAGCCATGCAACTGAACACTATATCAAAATGAGTAGTGCCACTTTATCTATAAAATGCAAAATGACTATTTTAGATCAAGATCAAAAATCACATGCAACAGGTAATGAAAGGAAATCATTGAAACTTCTTGATGTTGTTAAGAATCTGAAATCAATCTACGAACATAGTGTGTTGAGTGATTTTGTCTTCAAAGTAGGTGATAAGTCTTTTCCTGCTCATAAAAACATCCTTTCTGCTCATTCTCCTGTTTTTATGAAAATGATGACCCACGATTTCATGGAATCAAAGACCAACAGCGTTACCATTACGGATGCAGCACCTGAAGTCTTTGAATTATTTCTCAGATCTTTGTATGCTGGAGAGCTTGAAAACAAGTCTTGGGATTCTCTGAAAGAACTTTATTACTTAGTTGATAAATATGATGTTGGATTTTTAAAGGTTGAGTGTACTGATGCAGTAATTTTTTGCCTATCTGTGGACTTAGTGTGTGAAATACTCAAACTGGCCTACAGCTGCGCTGATTCTGACTTAAAAACTGCTGCGGTAAATTTTGCGGTCAATCACATCAAGAACATTGTTCCTAGAGAAGATTGGAAAGAACTCGTTAAAACCTATCCGATGATTGGGTATGATGTCACTGTTAATTTTGTTCCAATATAAAAATTTAATAACTCTCTTGTTATACAGCTAAATTGTCATTGCACGAGGAAGTATGATTTTTTTTTATGAATACATTAGATTATTGAACTATTATTATCTATATTGATGTTTTAAAAATTATAGTTTTGGATTTACAATGAAATTCCTTATTTAGCTTACATTTAAGATCACTTAAGTTTAAAATCTGAAACTTTGCTTTGAATCCCATAAAAGATTAAAAAGAATCCTACGGTAGTATATGAAGTGGTTATTAAATTTTTCCGAAATGCATCAAAATTTTTTTTTTCTATGAGTTAAAGGTCTTTTTGTCTATCGATCTTGAAAGTATAGTGATTAACTTGAAACATTAAATTATCATTAGGAAATACCTTTTAGAACTTATTTGATTATTTTGTATGCTAAATGTGGTCCAATTTTTTTTTTTCTAATTTGATTGTTTTGTTAAAAGAAATTATTTTGAAAATGTATGTTAAATATTCTCATGTTTGAATTTCTTTATTCAAGTTTTCCATACATATTTATGAAATTTCGATTGATTTGTAAATACAATGTTCGAAGCTTTAATTTTGAGTGCTTTTTAAAGCTAATTATTTTACGATGACAATTATAAGTTAGAAATTTCAATTAAAAAAGTTTTTGAAAAAAATGGTTTGAAAATTTTTTTTTATGAAAGGTCTTTTTAAATGTTTACGAAGTTAGTTCAGTTTTATTTTTCAACTGTGATTTACAATTATAGTTCAAGGAATATCTATTTTGATGTTATCTACATTAATGTTTTAAAAACTATAGTTTTGAAATTGCAACGAAATTCTTTATTTAGTTTACATTTAAGATCACTTAAGTTTAAAATCTTAGACTTTGTAAATACGAAGTTCGAAGCTTTAAATTGTTTGCTTTTTAAAACTAATTATTTTACGATGATAATTATAAGTTAAAAATTTCAGTAAAAATTTTCTTCGAAAATAATGGTTTTGAAAATTTTATTTTATGAAAGGTTTTCTAAGATGTTTACTAAATTAGTTCATTTTTTTCTTTTTTGCTGTGCTTTACAATTATAGTTGAAGGAATAAAATATAGTATTTGCTTATGATGCGCTTCAAAAATAATGTTAATAGTTACTTGTAATGCTACTAGTAACATTTCAGGCACGACATCAAATTATCATAAAATACAAATATTGCGTATTACTATTAAATATGCGTTTTAGTTTTAATTGAAACTCTTTAGTTCCTATTGAAACTCTTATTAAGGTAAACTCTTAATAACAAAAAATATTAATGTTTAATAAAGTGGAACAATTATGTCTAAGAGCAAAATTTAGGGTATTTAGATGATCGTTTCGCTCCAATAACCTCGACTTCGGAGTGTTTTTTTTTTTATTAATAAATTTTTTTTAAGATTTGCATTTGGCGATGAGTAGCGAATACTTTTAATATTTGGCTAAATTACTGGCTAATAATTTGAAATCCTTAGTGCGGGCCCTACTAACCAGGGCTCGGTAACCATCAGTCCGCCCGTCCTCTGCGGTCAAAAATTCCCCGCGGACAACGAATTTCTCGAATCCGACGTCCGCACGGACGGCCATTTTCTCGTTTATGTTCGTGATACATTTTCAATTTTTGTTATCTTACAAGAGTCTAGCTCCTCACTTCCAAAATGACCCTCTAATCTGGAAATACAGCAACATACTGTGCATGGTGGAATTGATGTTTTCTCTGTCTGGGAGTACTGCAGAGGTTGAAGCGTTAAAAACGCAATTATGAACATCTATCTAAATGGAAAACCCCTTTCAGATTTCTGTGCAGAAACCTCTGTAAATCATTGGCTTGATTATGGAACTGACAAACGTCATATTTGATTCATTGAAAAATCGCAGTACCCTCGGATAAATTGACATTCCAGATAACTTGACCTTTGTCATTTAAANGTTTGTCAATTAATACTAATAATAAATTTGATTTTTTGTTAGTTAAAAATAGTTCAGTAAAAAATGTTACAATTGACCCCTCTCTCCCCTACTACAGCAACCCCTTTCAGATTTCTGTGCAGAAACCTCTGTAAATCATTGGCTTGATTATGGAACTGGCAAATTCTTATCAACCAGCTACCGTTTGGATTCGAACCTGGTTCACCTCAATGAGTAGCGAACGCCCTATCCCCGGAACCTCCGCGGCTCGGATTGGCGTGTTTAGCTAACACACCGGTTTGGTATGTTCACTAAATTATTATTTTGCTTTTACACATAAGTCTAGTAGAGTTGTGGAGATCTTGCGACCAGCGGATCAGAAATTGAACCACCGATTGGTTTTTATGAACCTATTTTATTAAATTATATTCTAAACATAAGAAATCATTTAAAAGTTTAAGTATTAACAATTAATGACGAATTTATGAAAAGAAAAATTATTTCTATTGTGAGGTCACATTCTCCGGTAATTCAAGATACCATCCCAATGACATCCATTTTTGACGTCGCCATTTATTTTTTGCACTTGGTTAAATTGCATCGAAACAAAAAATAAAAGTGATAATTTTTTTGGAACAATTTTGATTGCTCAAAATGCTGAAGTCACTTCTTTATTGGTGGCTTAGTAGTTTTTATTGTATTTATAGTAATTGATGAATTAAATAATAACTTCAAACTTATATAAAATTAGCAGTTTATCTTTCATTTCACTGTTTTTCCATTTAATTTTCTTTTTTTTAGGAATAACATAATTGTCTATTTTTACCTACAAAATACAGAGGTGCCAGTTTCATCATAAATTAAGCAATAAGACCTGAATTAGTTCATCTTCAATAAATTCTAGCACTTTTTTTTTAATGAAAAATAAATATTAAAAAAGTGTCTCAGTGAATAGTTAAATACTGTCTAATTATTAATATAGATGAGAGTGATGCACGTTGAAGAAGAAAATTATCAATTTAAAGTTACATACTGCAGAACTACAATTATCTGCTACAATTATCAATTTAAAGTTACATACTAACTTATAGGAGCAATTCAATTTAGGGGAAACTATTATCAAAGGAATAATAAATAATTTTTTTATTCATTTATTTATTGCAGCAGCGAACACTCATGTCTGTCTATTGGTAAATCGTCGCACTTTATTGAAGCAATTAAATATATTGACGGTTTCTTAAGGAAACTAACTGCAGTAAAATTATAATTTTTGTAGCTTCGCACTCGGAAGTCTAAAGATTAAAAAAAAGAAAAAGAAAAACGTGGACCTTTCTTTAAAACCTTAAATTACTTTTAAGTAATTGAATTTTAAAAATTTTGGTGTTTTTCTTCTTTACAATCCTGAACATTTAACAAAAATTAAGCATGTTTAATATCGTTTGGACAGTAAAATTAGCACAGATTCACAGAATATTCTATTTCGATTCGGTATTCGATTGTATTTATGGATAGAGAAAAATTTTGTTATCTTAGAGTTGCGAATTATTTTACTCTTTTTCATGATAATTTATAAAAAGGTACATTAATTAGTTTATTTATTACCTAGAACAATCTGGTTATAGATTATGAGTTAAGAATTCAAAAAGCTTTACTGGTTCAATAGATCTTCAAAATCTGAATATCAAAACATGGAATATAAAAGTATCAGTGTTTTGCTTAGCTAGAATTTTTCACTAGTAAACTGATTAAAGTTTCAGAAAAATAAAGGATATTGTTAGATTTATCTAAGATTTCAGACCAAATCTTAAATATTTTCTAAAAGGCACCTTTTAAATACAATCATAATGTTTTTCTACATTATGAGCGAAGAAAATAAAAATATTAATAACTGGTTCTAAAGTTCTTCATATTCTAAGCATTCAGACATCTGATCGCAAATTATTATTTTTTTCAGACCAAGTGATCAATCTGCAAATTTTCAAAAAAAAATCATCACAATATCAGAGCATTTTTGAAGCCCAAATTTTAAATAGTAATAGTTTTTAGCAAACACATATTATGAGTTAGAATAACAAAAATTTTACTAATCAGTGACACATAATTTATTTTCATGTCCAAGGCATTATGACACATGCGATAGAAAACAGTAAATTTAGAAATAACAGAGCAAATATTAAAAATTTAGAGCTAACGTAACAAATATTTTTTTAAATATGAGTGAAATAATAAAATGCTATTGAATAAATAATGTATTCAGTTGCTTAAATGATATATTTTTTATGATATAATGATATAACTTTACATACTTAATGATATAACATATTTAATGATATAACTTTTACATGCTTCTAGACAATATAGAAGACAATAATAACTGAGTTTATAAAATATACTCTCATGCGATGTGCTAAGTATTAAATTCTCTTAATGGAATTCTTGCTAAAAATAAATTTAAAAAAAATATATTTGTGATTATTGGTGTCAAAATTCAAAATATGAATGCGGAAAAGAAAAACGTTATCAAAACCTGACGAATCATTAACAAGGAAGGCGAGATACAAGGCAGTTAGATTACTGAGTGAAATTTAAAGCTGTTCTTATCAATCGCTTTTGCCTCTCAATACATCAGGTTTTGGTTATATTTCTTTCTTTTTCCTCTTGTCTAAATATTACAGTTACGACTTCTAATGTGCATTTTTTTGTTTTATTTTTGGCAAGAATTGTAAAAACATCACATTGAAAATCTTTCATAAATAGAAATAATGAATACATATTGAGAGAAGTATAAAAACCCAAAGTTCTTGACACAAAAGTCTCGACCTAAATTTTTACAACAATGTCTCTAGAAATAGGTCGTTAAAATAAAAATTAGTAAAACAAAGAAATATTAGTTTAGTATCGAATAAAAACAGAAAAATAAGGATGCTTTTTTTCTAAAATTACTATAATTAAACGCGTTTTTATCTTCAGTCTTTCGATTTTTTTTAATGATTTAGTAAAGTTGACCAATAACAATTTATTGATTCTTCACTTTTTACCAACTCGTAAGTTCAGCTAATATTAAAATATAACTTTTAATTGGTTTGCAAATTTT